AAACAGGAACTACTTTATTGCCAGAACCCAACGGGAACTCCGCGAGGACTCGAAAGTAGCGGGCACCCGGGTAGCAGGAGCCGCCTTATTGCCGGACAGCAGAGGTTTATATACACAACTGAATACACAGCTTGCTTCAATTTAGCATCATCCAGTTACAGCACTCAGTCATTATCTTAATAATTATACACAGCTTAACTTAATTATCATCATCTTAATGGCTCACTGGCGTCACCTCTCAACCACTCCTTCTGGCAAATGCCAGGCGCTATCTTGACTTGGTTGTGGCTCTCAACACACCTTCCCCTCTCTGCCTCAGTTATCTGGAATTTTTTTTTAATATTTATTTTTAGTTCTCGGCGGACACAATATCTTTGTTTGTATATGGTGCTGAGGATCCAACCCGGGCTGCATGCATGCCAGGGGAGCGCGATACCGCTTGAGCCACATCCCCAGCCCCAGTTATCTGGAATTTTTTAAAAATTTGAGATGCGGTCTTGCTAGTCCCAGGCTAGTCTCAAATTTGAGGGGCCAAGCAGTCCCCCTGCCTCAGCCTCTCCAGTAGCTGGGACTGCAGTTGTGTGGCCCTGGGTCCAGCTTTTCCTGGAACTGCTGAAACTCACCTGGAGGACCCGCCCGGCAGTCCCCTCTGGTGGAAGGGACCTCATTTGTCTAACTCAGTCCTCTGCTTCCAGAAAGCCCCCTGGCTACCTTCCTGATGGGGCTGGCCTTCTGTGTCAGCCTGTGTTCTGTTACTTCAGCGAAATGCCAGAGGCTGGGCACTTCATAAAGAAGAGAGGTTTATTTACCTCACAATTGTAGAGGCTGAGCGTTCTACAAGAACTACCTAATCTTGACAGGGCCTGCCCCCCTGACCTAATCACCCCACCTCTAAAGGTCTCCCCCATCTTCACCCTATGAGGGTCAAGCCTCCAGTACACAGCCACGGGGACACAAACACCCACACCATGACACCCCCCGTTGTTGTAATCACCATTGGTGACAATTCCCGGGTGCTCACGACAARTCAGGTACTTTCCCAAGTGCTGGACTCATTTTCTGTGCATAATCTTCCCAGTAACCCTGCTGATAAGCTCTGTGTCCCTGTCAGTCAGGAGAGCCGCCCAGGCCGCAGGGCTCTTCAGCCAGACAACAGGAGGACACCAGCTCTCCAGAGTCTGCACTGGGAACSCTGAGATCAGAGAGGATGCCCCGCCCCCAAGGTGCCCAGGACCTAATCTGTGAATATGCTACCATTTGTGACAAAAGAGATTCTGCAGGTGGGATAATGAAGRAGACAGAGACATCCCTGCCCTGCGTCCTCAGGGGAGGGATCAGGGAGAGCCAGGTGCTGGTCTGCTGGCTGAGGAGGTGGGGCAGGAGGCCGGAAGAGGCCAGGTGGGGACTTCCTGGAGCCTACAGGAGGAGCACCATCTTGCCAGCACCTTGGTTTTAGCCCCAGAGGATTCATTTTGGAATTCTGACCTCCAGAGATAAGGATGAATCGGGCTAGTTGGGGCAATTCAGATTGTGGTGATTTGCATGAGCACCGTCAGGCGGACGCCATCTCCGGCCAGGCAACCCTGGGAAATAAGGCCTGCCAGCTCTCAGGGCACAGGGACACTGCAGGGACTCAAAGGTGGCCTCCAGGCCTCCCCAGTGCACCAGGGCTGGATTCATGCCCAGCACCCAGGGCTCTCTGACGATGGGAACGCAGAAGTGCAGGTGCGGAAGCTGCTGGTCTCCAGGAGGTTGAGAGTCCACGTTCCCAACAAGCCCTCTACCAGAGGCAGAGGTTGGTCCACATGGGATGGACAGGTCAGGGCGCTGCCTGGTGCTTCCGCAGCACCTACCAGGTCCACAGTAGATGAGGATGTAGGCCTTGAGGCTCAAGTAGGGAGAAGCTCTGGCTGGAATGGAGTCAGGCCCCTCCCGGGTTCCGTCCCCAGGTGCTCTTCTCAGTTCCCCCACCCAGACAGCAGGAATGGAAAATAACAGGTGACAGGGGAGCAAACCACCTTAGATTCATAGCACACAGGGTCTGGCACACAGTGACTGCTTAATAAGTGTGTGTTGTTACCCAGGGTGGGTGCAGTATCCACCAAGCATTTCTGAGCTAAAGGCCTGGAGGTTTATGTGTCAGTAGGTAAACAGGAGAGCAGAGGTCAAGCCCATAGCACAGAGCAGGTGCTTGGGACGTCAGCTGATCACAGGGAGTCTGTGTGTCAATCTGGAGTTGGAGCATTGCCTCTGTCCACTTGGCCTCCCCTGACCAGGTGCGTCACCTCCTCAGGTGATGATTTCTGGCCCAATCTTTGCTTTGACCAGACTCTGTTTTGGCAAGAAGCTGGAGATCCCCTCTCACTTCAGCCTGCCACTGGTTGGCTGAAGGGGTCCCTTGGGCCTCCCCTTGCTCTTGGGGAACCAGGTCCCACCTTCCATCTTTCTCTGGCTGCTCAACCTAATATAGCCAGGCCTGAACTGGCTCAGGGTCTGGGAGAGGAGAAGTGTGCATCCAAACAGCAGGGTCTCGGGGGGGGGGGGGCAGAACTCACAGAGGTGGCTTCTGTTCTTCAAACTCCCACCACCTGGAGCAAAGCCTGTCCCTCCCCCAGCCTCAGTCTTTCCATCTGTACCATGGTCTAGCCCAGAACCCTCTCCTGCATCGGGGCAGCTTCCATGCTGGTCCCCATGCTGGGGACCTGGAATTCAGACCAACCACCACCAACACACAGCATTAAATTTATGGTTTTACTTTTTTTTTTTTTTTTTTTTTTGGTACTAGAAATTGAACCTGGGAACGTTCTACATTCCCAGCCCTTTTTTATTTGGAGACAGGGTCTTGCCAAGTTACTGAGGCTGGCCTAGGACTTAGGATCCTCCTGCCTCAGCCTCCCGAGTTGTTGGTATTATAGGCATAAGCCACCACACTTTTACTATTTTTTAAAACTACACGTTAGATATTTTTATCTGATGATATGTACATTTATTTCACTTATTATTATGTGGCTAGGCAGTGACTCCAGGGGTGCTCCACCACTGAGCTCCACCCAGGCTGGTACCACCACACGCAGATTCTATACAGGTGTTTGTGTGCACATTTCTCTTGGGTAGATATCTATTGTGTTAGGTAGGGATGCTACAGCAAAATACCATAGACTGCGTGGCTTAAACAGACATAGGCAGACATAGTTCAGGGGGCTGGAGTCCAAGATCATGGTCAGGATCTGGGGAGGGCCATCTTGTGGATGGCCACCTCCTCATAGTGTCGTGTGTGTGTGTGTGTGTGTGTGTGTGTGTGTGTGTGTGGCACTGGGGATTGAACCTAGGGCCTTGTGCACGCGAGGCAAGCACTCTACCAACTGAGCTAGGTCCCGAGCTTCCTCAGTGTCTTCACCAGTGTCCATGGCCTGGCCCCACACTGTGTCTTCATTTAACCCAGTCACCTCCTTGAGGCCCTAGCTCCAAGACAGTTGCCTCTGCTGGGCTTAGAGCTTCAACATAACTTTGTGGGTGGACATGATGAGTCCCATAGCACGGAGGAATAGATTTTCTGAATCACAGCAGAAGTCTGTCTTTAACTTCGTAAAACAAACAAACAAACAAAAACTGTTTGCAGGCATGATGGCACATGCCTGTCATCCCAGTGGCTCAGGAGGCTGAGACAGCAGGATCAGGAGATCAAAGCCAGCCCCAGCAATGGTGAGGTGCTAAGCAACTTAGTGAGACCCTGTCTCCATATAAATTACAAAACAGGCTCAGTGGTCAAGTGCCCCTGAGCTCAATCCCTGGTACCCAATAAATAAGTAAATAAATGTCATTTAATGCCCTGCTAGACTTGAATTCCTGGAAACCAGGGTTACAGCATTGAAAGCACCTAGTGTTACCTATTGCTAGACATAGTTTCAAGTGCTTGGGGCTGGGGAAGTCACGCCACCCTCACAGCTCTGTAGAATCTGTACCGTTATGAGTCCCTTTTCGCAGGTGGGGAGACTGAGGCACAGAGCAGTTAAGGAACTTGGCAACGCAGTATTTTATTTTATTTCATTTTTTTTACTAGGGATTGAGCTCAGGGGCACTCAGGCTGACAGGGTCTCTCAYTGAACTGCTCAGCGCCTCGCCATTGCTGAGGCTGGCTTTGAACTCGTGATCCTCCTGTCTCAGCCTCCCTAGCTGCTGGGATTACAGGCGTGCGCCACCGCGCCCGGCTCATTCACTTTTTAAATCAACTAACGTGAGTCTTGAGTACTCTGTGGCCGTGGCCCGCAGTAAGTGCTCGGTAAACTTCTCTTCAGGATTAAGTAAATAAGCGGAGCATTTTGAGGCTGTTTATCCTAGGCGATCCCACATGCCCGCCCCTTCCCTAGGCCCCGCCTCCTAGGCCCCGTTTTGAGTTGAACGTCTCCTGGGGCAGCCAATGGCAGACGCCCTACTAGGCCCCGCTTCCTGTGGTAGCCAATGCTTGTTCCTTAGTTCGAGAAGCGGCTCTTGTGGTATCCAATGTCCTGCTTCGCCATTTTGAGACCCGCCTCAGGGAGGTAGGCTGTCAATAACCCGCCTCCTACGTTAATTGGGCCTTTCTTCCCGTGGTATGCAATGGTTGGTCCCACATTTCACGCCCCTCCTCTTGCGGCGGCCTATGTTCCGCCCCTCTCCCTTAAGTCCCRCCCCTTCACTCCCGTAGCGACTCCTTTTCCCTCCTCATACCTTTTCCCTTTCACCTCCCATAACCTCCGCCCCCTCCCATTAGGCCTCTGGGTCACGCCTCTGGATTCGCCCGTTACCCAATCCCGTTAACTTGCTCCGCTCCTACCCCTCTTCTCATTGGTCGCCGCGCTTCTCTGTCCCCGCACGTGGGCCTGAGCGACGGAGTCACCGGCCCGTGACGGCCTGAGGGCGGGACTTCCGGTGGCGTCGAGGCCAATAAGTGCGCGCCGGTCGGCTGCCTGTGCGGCCGTCCCGCCCCCTCAGCGTCCGGCTCCCGCCCCCGGCTTCGCCTCCCGCAGCCGCCGCTGCAGCCGCCGCTGCCGTCTCCGCCGCCGCTGCCGCTTCCCGCGGCCTGGGCCTCCCGCCGCCAGTATGCCACACGCCTTCAAGCCCGGAGACCTGGTGTTCGCCAAGATGAAGGGCTACCCTCACTGGCCGGCCCGGGTGAGGCCGCGCGGGTGATGGGCCCTGCGGGGGGGTGGGGCAGCGGGGTCCCCGGGCCTGAGGGGCCGCGCGGGGCTCTGAGGGCCCTGTGGTTCCCGGGGTCGGCGGGTCTGAGTGCGGGGCCTCCGGGCGATCAGCGGCCTGAGGTGCTGAGTGCGGGGGTCCGGCGACTCCGGCGTCCGAGGGGCCGCGCGCCGGGGGTCCGGGTCCGAGGGGCTGAGGGAGCCGCGCGCCGGGCTCGGGGGCTCGGGACCCGGGGCCTGAGGGKCTGGGTTTGGGCGCGCTGAGGCCGGGGGGTCCGTGGTGGGCCTGAGGAGAGGGTCGGGTCTGGTGGGCAAGACCGCGGGAGGCGCGGCGGGGCTGCGATCCGGCTTCGGGCCCCGTGGCCGGCCCCGGCCGGAGAGGCGGCTGGCGGAGCCCGCGGCGGGGGKTGCGTGGGGCGGCTCTCCCTCGCTGACCGCGCGGACTTCGGGTTCCCCTCCGGCGGCAGCCGGTGCCCGGGGCTGAAGGGCGCCCCGCGCCTGGGAGTGCAACGTGTGCGGTGGTCGGTGGCTGGGGTGGGCCCTGTCTGGGGGGCTGTGTGCAGCGGGGACCCCAGGAGCTCCTGTCACCCCAGGTCTGAGGGCTCCAGTGGCCCCGGGCTGAGGGTGGTGCAGTGGGCCAGGGGGACTGAGGGAGGCTGGGCGAGCTGAAGACCAGCCCCTGGGCGGACGGGCAGTGGAGGGGTGAGGCCCAGGAGTGTGGCCGGGCTCCGAGGGCGCTCACAGCCAGCGCTGACCTCTGAGGAGTGGGGGCCAGCTGCCCCGGAGGCGCGCTGGCCGGTCCTGGGACAGAGTTTGGGATTCTCTGCAGGAGAGGGCATGTGTGGCCGGGATGCCCATAGCCAAGGCCAGGAACCACSGGCGGAGGGAGGAGTTAGAGAACCGAGGGACCGGGAAGGTTCCAGCGGCCACCCAGGAGCTGGAGAGGTGGATGGGGAAGGCAGAATTTGGTACCAGAGAACCCACTCCATCCTAATTTGCTGTCACTCATTTTCCTGGGGGAGACCATAGAGGGGAAACTTTACCGACACTTCCCTCCTTTCCAGAGCTCTAGCTTTTCCCTCCCCTGACCCCCCTTCTCCAGCTCAGAGAGCCCAGAACATTTCCAAGCACCTGATTGGAAGGGAAGGGGCTGCTACCCTCTTGTGGGGAAGTGACTGACAGCTGCTGGAGCCCGTGGGCCTRCGGGGAGAGGGTGGGACTTCCTGGATGCTCAGGGCCTGTCTCCTGCAGCCCACCCCCACCCTCTGCATCCTTGGAGCTGCCAGCTGCATCCTTTGGGAGGCCTCCTGCCTGCATGATCTCCTCTTTACAGGAGGGGTCCCAGGGGAGGGTCCTGGGAGTTCACAGAAGCTGATCTTGGCCCCACCCCTTATTTTCTTCAGGGGGCCATATTTGGCTTTGCTTAGGTGAAGCACCTGCCTTGGAGCCAGCTTTCTCTGTAGGGGGAGAAAGATCACCTCGGGTGGGGGACAGGTGCAATGAGGGGTATCTAGAAGAATGCAGATTCCTATTTGGAAAGTGATGTGTCTTTCTAGGTTGAAGGCTCCCCTCTCCTTTCATGCCTTTCCCCAASTAACTTGGTTGGTTTCTTGGTGATTTCCTGGGTTGTTCTGTGAAGTTGTCTCCTGTCTCTCCCGCTAAATCACCCCCTGATTGAGCTGATTGACCTCTCACTATAGATTGATGACATTGCTGATGGTGCTGTGAAGCCCCCACCCAACAAATACCCCATCTTCTTCTTTGGTACACACGAAACGTAAGTGTCTCCAACTGGGGCTTGGTTACCCCACTTGGTGCCTCCCAGTATGGTCTGGCTCACCTGGAGGTGATCTGTTGTTCCTTTCTCCAGAGCTTTTCTGGGACCCAAGGACTTGTTCCCCTACGACAAATGTAAAGATAAGTACGGGAAACCCAACAAGAGGAAAGGCTTCAATGAGGGGCTGTGGGAGATTCAGAACAACCCCCACGCCAGCTACAGTGCTCCTCCGGTGAGTACCCTGGAGATGGAGAACATCCAGTTGGGGTGTATGTGGGGCCCATTTGGGGATACTTCTTTACAGTGGGGGTTAGAAATAGCCTTTTCCTTATCTCGTAGGAAAAGGAAGTTTCTAGGGCAGGGTCTTTCCTCCTCGATACTGTGGACTTTAAGGACCAGATTGTTTTTTGGGGATGGAGCGTTCTGGAATGCAGGATGCTAAGTGGCACCCGTGGTCCCCGCCCACTCCATGCCAGGGGTGCTGTGAAGTTCCCAGACACTGCCTTGTGTCCTCTGGGTAGGGAGAGAGGGTTGAAGAATCACCCTTTGCTGAGAATCACTGCTGTAGAATGAGCTTTAATTATTTGTGGTTTTGTTTTTGATTTTGTACTGAGGATTTAACCCAGGGACCCTCTACCACTCAGCCACATCCTCAGCCCTTTTTATTTTTTAGTTTGAGATAGGATTTAAGTTTAAGTTGCCCAGGCTGCTCTTGAACTTGTGGTACTCCTGCCTCTGCCTCTTGAGTGGCTGGTATTATTGGTGTATGCACTATGCCTGGCGAGCTTGAATTTATAATAGGATGTTATTAAAATTCTTATAAAACCTATTTTTTTCTAAGGAAAATAATTTCTTTAAAAAATCATTGCCTGGGCTGGGGGTATAGTTCGGTTGGTAGAGTGCTTGCCTTGCATGCACAAAGCCCTGGGTTCAATCCCCAGCACCACAAAAAAAACAAAAAACAAACAAAAAAAAAACAACTGCCTTTCTTTCTCCTTAGGTTTTGGATGCAGGAGAATAAGTGATAGTTTTTAGATATGAGAGTTCATGGTCAGGTGGGAAAAAATAGTCAGGAACCATAGCAATGGGGACATCTCAGTGGCGTATCAGTGTCTGGGAATGTTCTGGGAAAAGAAGAACTTTTGAAAAGTAAGTCATTAATGGAAGGCCTTGAAAAGCCAGAGAGTGGTGCCCTGTGGTCGGCATTTTGGAGTGAGGTGTGGGTGGAGGAAAGCTGGGCTGGGGTTCTTTACTCTTTTTTTTTTTTGTACTGGGGATTTTACTCTTTTTTTAAACCAGTGCTTTTGCGGGTAGGGGGCAGTGATGGCCTGGATTTAGAAGAGGTGGGCATGAAGATGGGGGAGGCCAAGGGAACAGGTCTCAGTGAGGGAAAATTTGTTAAGTGAAGGAAAGGATATCCATGGTTGTCTGAGGAGTGGAAATTGGGAGTTGGTGAGCGTCAGGTCTGGCATGTGTTTTTCATCAACTGAAGATGGATGAAGTCATTTTGTCGCCCCTGGTCCTGCTTGAGAACTCAGGGTCCTGAGACGGTCTGGACGTGCCTCTCTATCTCAATCTGGGCTGGGTGGTGCTTTCGAGCAACCACTCATGGGTCCACACACGTTTTTGTGTTGACACCTGCCATGTGCCATGGGCTGTGGGTCTAGAATTTGGGATATACTCAGCAGATGTGTCCTGGACATTGATGGTTTGGTAGCCTCTTATCAAGGGGCTGGGGCCCCTGTGTATTCATGTTGATGGTATTTTATTCTTGATAAAGAATCTGTGTCCAGGAGGTAGAGGATTCCCCTGTTTGATAACTCAGCATCTTTCCTGAGGCTTTACTTGTCCCCAGTCTGGCTCTGTGGATCAGAAAGTCTTTAAGGCATGAGATCCTTTTCTGGCCCTGACTCAAGTTCTCTTTGGTTATGTCCTAAGCTTATTACCTCCTGGTGAATCATCACACCATTTAATATTTATTGGACACCCACAGCTTGCTAAGTACTGCATAGATGCTGCCCTCGAGGAAAGGAAATGCAAAAATAGTGCACCCTTGAAATGAAACAAGTTCTCTGCAGGTCCCCCAAGTAGCTGTAAGTGTTAGAGCTTATTTGTGCTCTTTGGTTCTCTAACCGTATGTGCTTTCAGTGGAACATTTGTTTAAAATGCAGGTTCCTTGAGATGTAGCTTTAGTAGTGTAGGACTGAGGCCTGGGACCATTGAGGTCTTCCCTGCCAAGTGCTGTCTCCGAGCCTTTGGATGTAGCCAGGGCATAGGTAGGTTTTTGAAGTCATCGCTTTTTAGGAAACTGAGCAAATCTTTTTTTCATCCCCAAGGTTTTTTTTTTTTTTTTAAGAATTTTTTTTAATATTTATTTTT